TAATCGTGTACAAAATAGTGTCTAAATAGGATATGGTTAAAGTAACAACTGTCTTCTGAAGATCTAATATAACAACAGATGGGGTATTGAGTTTTTTGTGACTAATGAACAAAGGTCAAAGCATTGCTCACAGAGTTTTACCCTTTGGTGCCACTTCTTGAAGAGTTCCTTTGTTCAAGAAGTGTGTAAGATTAATGTACAAACATACTTACAGTCATGGGTTATAAGTCTTTACTTTGTGATGAATATTTTCAAAATGGACAATCATTTGGTCACCGTCTCTGTACAAATCATTTGGTGAGTATCCTATTTGTTTTGTTTATGGAGATGTATTCTATTTATGCAGTCATTTGATTGAATCTTTAGATATTCATAATGTATTTCAAATCTCATCAGTTATTACTGTGCTGGGCCTCTGGAGTTATACAGAATAGACATAATGTATTTCAAATGAAGATTCGTCCTGAAGATAGTGAAGACGAGGGATATTATTTTTCCGAAGAAACTGATTTTTCAATGATTGAAATATAAACGTCCTTTTCAGGACCATCAAATCCTGAGAAAGAGAAAGCTATAATTGCACATATCACCTGTTTCATAAAAAGTTTCTTACTTCTGATATTTAATTTAAATATCACCATTAGTGTATTATCTGATCTTTTAAGTTTTATATGTATCTTTCTTAGTGAAAATAACTTTGTTAATGCTGTTGACGCATATGAATTTTCAAGTACGTCTAGATAAATATAAAACTTTCTTAAATGTTCATTTGTCGTCTCTCAAGTTTATCATTAAAGGTAAAGCTAGAGACATAATAATCTAACCTTTGATCTGTAGTCAGGCTTCGAGGATACTTGCTCAATATCTGTTACATTTAAGATTGAACACTGATTGTGACTGATAGAATGAATAATATAATTTGATGTTCTTTGTTTGTTTGGAATTTCGCGCAAAGCTACACGAGGGCTATCTGCGCTAGCCGTCCCTAATTTAGCAGTGTAAGACTAGAGGAAAAGCAGCTAGTCATCACCCAACCCACCGCCAACTCTTGGGCTGCTCTTTTACCCACGAATATTGGGATTGACCGTCACATTATAACGCCCTCAAGGCTGAAAGGGCGAGCATTTTTGGTGGGACGGGGATTCGAACCCGCGACCCTCAGATTACGAGTCGAGCGCCCTAATTACCTGGCCATCCCGGGCGATGTTCTTTTTATAAGTTTATAAGA